AAGGGATGGTTGATGATTGTGGTAAAGTTGTGGTCGATAAGGTGGTTTGTTGGGTTGAAGCGGTAGATTGTTTGGTCAGAGGGGTAGTTGAAGTAGGTTGTCTGGTCGAAATGGTCGAAGGAGTGATAGATGGTTGGGTCAAAAAGGCGATAGATGGTAAAGTAATAGTTGATAGTTAGGTCAAAGAAGTTGTTGTGGGTGTTTGAGTCAAAGGAGGTGTTGTGGGTGTGCGAGTCGAAAGAGATGTAGATAGTTGGGTTGTGGATGGTTGGATTGTAGATGGTCAGAGCAAAGAAGTGGCAGTAGCTGCCAATTGAGAAGGTTGGGTTGTTCGACTGGTTCTTTTTGTTCTAGCCATGGTAAAAATTTTTTTTTTGAAAAACAATCTAATGAAGTTTGGAGAAAGAAAACTTGAAGGAAAAAAAGTGTTCGATCTGGTTGTATTTATGAAAATTTTTTAAATTCTGATCGTATTGAAAAAAATTCATATTTTGTATTATTATCTTGTATTATTATTGTTCTGTATTATTGTCACTGTTTTCGAAATGTTTGAGTGTACACTAAAAAAAAATTATTTATCATTTTTGTACACTCATATATTCATATATTCGATTACCTTAGCACATTGATTGATCGATATTTAATCAATGTGCTAAGGTAATCAAGTGTACAAGTATATGAGTGTACTAAAAAAAATTATTTGCTATTGTCAACACTTTGAAATCAAAACAACGTATAATACTATCACTGTCAATTAGTTTATGTATATTCGACTACTTTATTAAATTATTGTTTTATAATCATTTTATAATCGTCTATCATTGTGCTAATTTAACTATTATGATTTAGAAACCAACAGAGTTAGTCAATAGTTAACTATTGTCACACCAACTATTCATCTATCATTATCTAACTATTGTCTCAATATTTCAATCCTTCGACTAACATTTAACTATCATCGCGCCAACTATCATCACGCTAATTTACCTAAAGTGACTCGTCTATGTCTATTGATTGTCGAATTGTTGTCGAATTTTTTTAAATTGAGTCATGTGATAATTCATTTGTGTTGTCATATTGTGCATTTAGCATGTCGAATTTTTTAATTTTTATTGAAATTGTTGACTTTTTTTAATTCGTCCATATATTGGTTGTCGAATTGTAGCATTTAATATGTCAAATTTTTAAATTTGTATAGAGTTAATCAAACCTTCGACTAACTATCGTTAAGCCAACTATTGTCACGCCAATTATTGCGCCTCATCTATGTCTATCAATTGTGCGAATTTTTTTAAATTGAGTCATGTGATAATTCATCTGTAGTTAAATTGTCGAATTGTGGCATTTAGCAGGTCGATTTTTATCGAAATTGTTGACTTTTTTTAATTCGTCCATATATTGGCTGTCGAATTGTGGCATTTAATATATCGAATTTTTAAATTTTAAAGTTATCAATAGAGACTTGTATAGAGTTAATTAATTCTTCGACTAATTATCATCACGCCAACTATCATTATGCCAATCACCCAACATTATTGCGCCTCATCTATGTCTATCGATTGTCGAATTGTGGTATTTAATGTTAAATTGTCAAATTGTAGCATTTAGCAGGTCGATTTTTTTAATTTTTATTGAAATTGTTGACTTTTTTAATTTGTTCATATATTGGTTGTCGAATTGTGGCATTTAATATATCGAATTTTTATTTAATTGTCAAATATTGTAGTATTGAATTTTTTGATATCTAATACTGTAATAGTTGTCGAATTTGTTAATTTTTTAATTCACCAATCGAATTGTAGCATTTAATATGTTGAATTTTTAAATTTTTATTTAATTGTCAAATATTGTAGTATCGAATTTTGTAATTTCAAGTCATGTGATTGTTGTCAAATTTGTTAAATTGTAGCATTTAATATGTCAAATTTTTAAATTTTTATTTTATTGTCAAATATTGTAACATTGAATTTTGTAATTTCGAGCCATGTGATTGTTGTTGAATTTGTTAATTTTTTTAATTCGCTAATAGTTGAGGCATATATTGGTGGTCGAATTGTAGCATTTAATATATCGAATTTTTAAATTTTTATTTTATTGTCAAATATTTTTTATAATTCGCCAATAGTTGAGGCATATATTGGTTGTCAAATTGTGGCATTTAATATGTCGAATTTTTATTTAATTGTCAAATATTGTAGTATCGAATTTTTTGATATCTAATACTGTAATAGTTGTCAAATTTGTTAAATTTTTTTAATTCGCCAACAGTTGAGGCATATATTGGTGGTCGAATTGTAGCATTTAATATATCAAATTTTTGATTTTTACTATGTAATAATTGTCAAATTATGGTATCAAATTTGGTAATTTCGAGTCATGTGGTTGTTGTCGAATTTGTTAATTTTAGAGATATATAGATTTTTTAATTTACTAGTGTATATTGGTGGTTAAATTATAGCATTTAAAGACTTTTTTTTAATTTGCCAACAGTTGAGGCATATATTGGTGGTTGAATTGTAGCATTTAATATGTCGAATTTTTGATTTTTACTATATAATAATTGTTAAATTATAGTATCGAATTTTGTAATTTCGAGTCATGTGGTGGTTGTCGAATTTGTTAATTTTAGAGATATATAGGATTTTTTAATTTACTAGTGTATATTGGTGATTGAATTATGGTATTTAAAGACTTTTTTTTAATTCGCCAATAGTTGAGGCATATATTAGTGATCGAATTGTGGCATTTAATATATCAAATTTTTAATTTTTACTATATAATAATTATCAAATTATAGTATCAAATTTTGTAATTTCGAGTCATGTGGTTGTTGTCGAATTTGTTAATTTTAGAGATATATAGATTTTTTTAATTCACTAGTGTATATTGGTGGTCGAATTATGGCATTTAAAGACTTTTTTTTAATTCGCCAACAGTTGAGGCATATATTGGTGGTCAAATTGTAGCATTTAATATGTCAAATTTTTAATTTTTACTATGTAATAATTGTCAAATTATAGTATCAAATTTTGTAATTTCGAGTCATGTGGTGGTTGTTGAATTTGTTAATTTTAGAGATATATAGATTTTTTTAATTCACCAGTGTATATTGGTGGTCGAATTATGGCATTTAAAGACTTTTTTTTAATTCGCCAATAGTTGAGGCATATATTGGTGATCAAATTGTGGCATTTAATATGTCGAATTTTTGATTTTTACTATGTAATAATTGTCAAATTATAGTATCGAATTTTGTAATTTCAAGTCATGTGGTTGTTGTCGAATTTGTTAATTTTAGAGATACTAGTTGTAAAACCCATTGTTAAACAACTGGTTAGAACTAAATATTTATAATCATAATCAATTTTATAATCCATAATTCAATATAATTATTTCTTAATATTAAATTATAGAACATAGACCTTTAGGTTTCGAAAGTTCTACTGCTCACACTATTAAAACGAACCGTACAGTGAGAACAAAAAGACCCCTTTTATAACACAACTAACGATTTGCAGAGGCATATAATGAAAGTACACCGGGTACTAAGGACGTTTTAATTGCACTTGTGAATGTAACATAAATGGGAACAAAAGATGGATTAATTGCACTTAGTATAAAAATATTACAGCAGTACTCATATAGTGCAACTTATACCACCCAAGCTGACCATAGGATCCCTCAGACTAAAATACCATATCTACAGCTTAACTTGTAAAGTACCCTAGGTATTTTAGTCCACACTGTACGGTAGTACCAATACCTGGATCTGACACTATTTTTTTTTTATAGTGAGCGATGTGACAGGGCATAGTAAAAATTTCTGAATTTGTATAATATAAAAAAAACAAAATAAAACTTTAAACAACCTTTGGTCCAGAAAACAATGATTATTTTCACAAAATTTACAAAGAAAATTCCTTGTTACCTCACCCTTAATTAAGAATTATTTTGCGATTCAAGTATTCCCAAGCATTCAAGTTATTAATAATTTATATAATTAATTAACTGAGTTAATTGTTTATAGCTTAAAGTACTTTTTGCGAACACTACAATTAACAGATGTTTCTAAAACCATTCTACTGTAACTTCAAGCAAACACTAAATTCAGTATATAAAAATACTGAAAAGTAATAAGTATAATTTTCTTTACTATGATTTACAAAAACTTGAAACATGTCCAATTAAAAACATGAAAAAAAATTATAATTTTTAACAGGTAAGAACTTTATATTTAACTAACATGTGTTTCAATAACAAACTTCATACTTATATTTTGCTCTTGCATTAAGTAAAACGTAAAAATTTTTTTGATTATATGAGAATTAATAAATATATATAAACACTGTTTTTCATGACTTGAACAGATTAAGAAATCTTCACGTCTAATACACGGCATACCAAATGAAAATATGATACCAATTATGAAAGAATTTAATCGCAGTGTTATAGAGTTTTTTGCATTTTGGGTAAAAACTTATTTCATTACAATGCTACTAAATTGAATACATATGGTTATTTAATAATATTTAATATAAATAGTTACAGCTTTTGATATATATGTCATAACAAAATTAACTACGTACTAACTATTATAAGTGAAATTTTTGCATCATAATTAGAAATCTAAATATTTAGATTATTTATGCAGATGTAAGATTAATTAATTTTTACGTATTACTATTATCGATTTTTATAGTTGAACATCAGTCAAATCATCGAATACTCAGTTAGCCGACATCACATAAGATTAGAGTTAAGCATTTAATAAGTGACAGGTATATATTTTTATTAAGTTTCACCTGGCGTGATGTCGGCTAAATGAGCAGTTGATTGAGTAAATACCGGTACAATAATACAGAAAAGTTGACATCATATTGCATCAGTTCATTACAAACTTTTTTAAGCAACTATGCAGAGACCAAAAAAGTAGTTATTTTATTTTAAAAATTTTATTTAATTTTTGTTTAAAAAGCAGTTTGATAATTTTAGTATACTAATCACAGTACTTTTTGAAGTATCAAAGTTATTGAATTGTTTAGTTAACTTTTGATTCGAATTAACCTGATAACGTTAGAGCATATTTTTGAAAAATCTCCTTATATACTATATTCTTCGTACAAAATTGCAACTCTGGTATGGCTGGTCCAAGAAAAATTTTTAAATTATGAGACATTGTTACATGTGAATATGCAACGTATAATTGCCCATATGAGAAGACCGGTTTGGGAAGATATAATCCAACACAGTTAATAGTCTGCCCTTGTAACTTGTGAACAGTCATGACAAATGCAAGCTGATATGGAAACTGACGCCATTTTATTGCAAATAGCAAAGATGTATTTGTGGGAGATAATTCGACACATGGTAAAAAAACACTTTTCCCTTTAAATGGGCCATTAATGTGTTCTGCTTCGATAACATTATTTTGTAGTGATTTGCAAATAAGCTATGTGCCATTACAAAGACCCTCATTAGTATTGATGTTTCAAAGTAATATGATAGGGAACCCAATTTTCAAGGTTAAGGTATGAGGTGGCAAACAACTAATTGCTAATAAATTGAGGAATTCTGTTGAGTATATATCTTCATGCGCTGAATTATACATAGGAGAGCTTTGATCTAATGAGTTAGCGCTATAGTAAATTTTGGCTTCTCCAGAAAATTGTAAAAGAATTTCAGTATTAAGCATATCAACATCAGAGTTCAATGGCGCAAGGATGCTTCTTTCGACGATATATGTTGGGTCATGTGCTCGTATATGCAAGGCAGGGTAAACGAAGTCAATTAATTTCTGAGACGATTCATCATGCAGGACAATGCTTGGAGGCAGCTTAATATAACTACTATGTGGCGTGACCTCAGCTATTCGACCTTCACCAATCAGTAGAAGCCAGTCTGCAAACTCTCTCTGAGCAATATCATTTGAAGCATCTGAATTATTTGATGCGGTACATAAATGTATGTTGATTGTTAACTTTCGTATTTTAACATACTGCTATAAAAGCGAACAGCAAAAACTGGCATTAACAATATCTTCACGTCCACCTTTTGGAACGACTGGAAGAATTTGCTGAAAATCTCCACCAAAAACAAAAACTTTCCTGCCAAATGGTATATTTCCAAAGCTCAAATCAACAGAGCTTATAATATCTCTTAACGAACGATCGATGGCCTCGAATATATGGCGATGCATCATTGGAGCTTCGTCCCAAATAATGAGCATGGTTTGTTTTAGAAGCTCAGCAAGATCAGAGCATACAGATATGTTGCAAATTGAATCTTCATCTGGATCAATAGGGATTTTAAACTGAGAATGCGCTGTACGACCTCCTTCAAGTAATAGTGCAGCAATTTCAGATGAAGCAACAGCTAGCGCAATACTTCTATTTGAGCACACTTTAGCTAAAAGGCTTTTGTAAAGAAATGTTTTGCCAGTTCCTGCGGGTCCGTCTATAAAAAAAACATGCGGGATTGTTATTTTCAACAGCTTGAATAATTTCATTAAAGATGGTCTGTTGATCTTTATTTAGCCTGCTTGTGTTCAGTTCAACTGATTGAGTAAGAACATCTATATCATAATTTAATTCTTCATTTATTAACGAATTTTCAAATTTCTGAACAGAATCTGGATAGGACATGTTTGGAAAGTCTTTTAATGTTTTATTTTGTTGTAAAAGAATACTATCTAATCTATTTAATGCGTCACTTTAATTTCTTGTTCACTTAGTTGTAATTCAGAATTCCATGATTGCCAACGTGCATGATGCAAGATATCATCAGTGAAAGCTGCAATATGTTTGGTCTACAAACATTTGGGTTTATTAGGTTGACAATTGATTAATATAATTGCGAATAAGTGCCGAAGCTGGTGTCCTGTTCTTATTTTGGCAGCTTCTTCTAAGCAAAGATCCCATTCATGATCGTCTTGTAACAGACCTAAAGCTCGACAGGCATTTTTGAATGTAGTATGCATAAATCCATTCACAGTACATAAGTGATCAAATAAACATACACCACGTATATACGACATTCAAAAGTAGATGCAAGAAAAGCGTTCTCCTACTCCAGGATGTACAAAGTACATATGGCCGATCGTATTGTCTCGGATATGGGGTTGCCATTTTTTTGTTTTTTTATTGAAAACAAAGGCCTGCGGAAATTGAGCATATGTATAATTACTTGCTAATGAAGCAAGCATCGGATCTCTATTAGCTTCAAACCAAGCAGTTAATGTCGATTTTTCATTCTGTGCTCATTGTAAAATAGCATCGAGAGATTCATTATCTGAAAAGGTAACTATGTGATATCCTAGAAGATGTACAACTAAGCACATGATATCGGGTGCTTCATTGTGCATTTTAAAATGCATGATTTGCCAAAACGCCTCAGAAGCTGATACATAACGTGCGTCAATGTATTGCCAGATTTCATCAACTAATTCTACAATTGTCTCTGCTGTCGCTGTAGTTGATGTGTTAATTTCACTACCACTACTTATGACTACGGTAGCTCTATCATGACCTTTATACACATATTTGAAAAGGTATTTCACTGCATGTATTGAAGAGCAAATCTCTACATTAATATGGCATTGATACTTTTTGTATAGGTAAAGATTATGTGGTACGACTCAACAGTTATCGAGCATAACGCCTCTAACTTGAACCATTCGTTCATTAAAGCGACGATGATAAATTGGATATCCATCCTCATTTTGACAAGTAACTGATTGAAACGATTTCGGATACATTTTTAAGCACTTTCTCTCTTGTATACATAGGGCATTCCTGTTGAATATGCCGCATAGTCCATGCATCATACATTTAATCACAGTTTCATACTCTTCAGAGTATAGTTGCAGATCTGGTATTTCTGCTGAAACAATGCAATCAAAATCGTCAGTCGTATAGGGTTTGTCCTCTGGTACTAAGATGAATAACATATAAGCATGAAGCAAACCACGCATCTGAGCTTCTATAACATAGATATATCCAAGTACACGCTCAAAAATTCCATTCTTTAGGATATCATTAAGAAAGGCAATCAGTTTTAACCTGAAAATTCATGTGCAAAGGTCAGAGCGGTCTTGTGCTGATTGACCCAAAAGTAATTCTGTTTGAATTTCGGGCTATTTAGGATTGCAAGTCATTGTTATGAAAAGGTCCGGCTTTCCTAACTGTCCGACAATAGTCATGGCATCTTGGTATAATTGCTTTATATGCCGTGGACCGCCAATAAAGCTTGATGAAAGAATAATTCGACGGCCAATATGAAGTCCACTGGGCAGTTCGTCACTTACAGCTAGTGTATCTTGGAGCCCACTATATATTTCAGATCGGATAGTTTTCTGGTTGTGTCTCAAATAATTCAAACGACTTTGCTTGATGCATGCATATGCGTCAACGATGTATTGTTGAAACAGACGACCAGCCCTATATAAGGCAAATATCTCACCAGGTTCATGAAATCACAACTGTAATCAGTATGCATAATATTACATCATAAACACGCAGTCTTGAGTCATACTGTCATTAGTAGAGTCAATTTCAAATTCATTTGCGTTATCTGAATCTTCATTAATTATAGATATCTGTTGTTGGTCTTTTAGATTAATGCTGAGATGCCATCCTGATTCACTATATGGAAAAAGCAAAATGTAATGCAAGGGAATATAGCTTTGATGAATTTCAGAAATACGCTGAAGACCACTGCCCTGTTTATATAGTACGATATCTCAATTAGAAGGTTCAACACCTTGCCCGTCTCCAACAATAAGAACAGCAACTTCAGATCTAGTTGGAGTTGCATATTGAAGGCCCTGTCCTGATTTTGTTATAACAATCCTTAATTCTTGTGACAGATTTTCATTTAAAATGAGAGCCGCGTTTTGAAAGCTGTGCATGTAAGGATTAACTTCATAAAGCATTGTGTGAAGTTGTGCGAGTATAGTAAGATCAAGATTTGGCATTAATTGATGTCTTCGTTGTAGTTGGGCATTCGTATCAAATATATAAATTTGTGAACAGAACGGTATATTTCTATTTTCAGGCATAATAGAGCCAATGCGGTAATATAATTCCCTTTGAATATGAAATTTGTATATGCCCTGCGTTCCGGCAACTCATTCATCAATTTTAGCACCAATAGAAGTGAATGCAAGGGCTGAGTTGTATATATGAATCTTTTTACAAAAGTCTTGTGCTTGTGTAGTTTCATCTATTAAAAGCGTACGTAATACTGTAGGTGGTGTTTCAATGGCAGACAATTGCATTTTACCCTTTGCACAACAGATGCTAAAAATTGGAGCTCGTTTTGATCCGGCAACCTTCTCTTCTAACCAGTGCAGTGCCTTACATTCAGAACATTCAACATCCATACACCCGCAGCTATGTGGAAGTACAGCGCTTGTATTATAGTTTTCAACACGCGCCGTATTAGTAACATGGTGTTTAGCTTCATTTTGTTTCTTTTTTTGTAAATCAATTTGTTCACTATTTTCCTTTTCACGTCAGCAAGCATAAGATTGCCTTTGAGCACTTCGACATTGTTCAGCTTCTTTATTCATTTCATTCGCGATACGGCAGGCATGAGATTCTCTTGCCAAACGATTTTTTCATTTACGAAGGCTTTCAGAAGAATTAGCTACAGGAGTTTCTTCAGCACGTGACATACGTCTTGCATATCGTTCTCTTTTTATCTGGTTTTTATGTTCACGAAGGATGTTTTGTGTAGATTGTGTGTTAGAATCCATTTTAAACTATGTAGCTTATTGGAAAAAAAATTGAGAAAGAAAGCAAGAATTATACAGCTTTTTTTTTTTTTGCAGTATTTATAATATACATGATAATTTAAATAGATTGTCTGATTGGCCCGCGCATGTAACATAGTACAAAAAATGAAAAAAAGGGATTATCTCTGAATTTAAAGAATTTATACTAATTTGAACTACCTTTCATCTATATATTAAAATTTTACATATTTTTAATAGTGTCTTCGTATTTCAACAAAGTTTTAAAAACGACACAACTTAGTATAACCAAAATTTTGAGTTATATTCAAGGTGAGTGAGAAAATGGAAAATCGAATTTACAATATCAAATTTCAATAACACTATCTTATACAATATTTAATTAATCAAAATTCTTTATTTTTACAATATCAGATAACGTAATGAAAACAGTATTAAAAAAAAACCCTGGCGGAATATAAACACCATACCGTATGAATTTGAACTTTTTTTATTGTAATAGAATAGTGTGCTTATTCGCCTCGCAAACGAAATTCAAAATAATCAAGATACGCAAATTGCACTGATGATAAATAACACAGACATTTGCTAGTTTTACATTTATCATAATATAGTTTACTGGAATTATTGCTTAATAAAGGCTTCAAACGGTAATATTCAAACAATAGAACTTGATAGACTTGCTGAATTTGGCTGAGAATAATCTTGTCATCACAACTTATGCAAGCGATATAATACAATTTATAATGAATTATATAGTTTTTAGATCACATAAATAAGCAAGTATAAAAAACTTATAAAAGCTATGTGCATCTAATTTTTGGTATACGCTTTTCTAAAAAGTACAAAAAAGTAGCGATTTTTACTTATTATAAAATTTCATTAATATAATTATATTCGCATCTAATATAAGATCTATTCTATAAGACAATGCGTAAGATACAAAGTTAAACATTTTTTTTGCAACATATTAAACATATCATTAGCTTATAACACTCTAGTATTCTTACTATGTAGCTGCTCATGATTTACTTTATATTATGTGGTGTATATACTGTAGTTCGCTTAAGATTAAACAACATTATGACAATAGATAATTTGAACTTGAAAATGAATAAATTTACACAGCAAATATGGTTTGAAAAATGATTAGTAGAGTGATTATAAAATAAGTATACAGTAGATATCGCAAAGAATAGTATGTATGTATGTACGTACGTACTATATACAATTTATATAGGGCCCATTATTATATAATGCTGTGTAATAGATGATTTTAGATTTGTATAACGACAGACATGTCAACGATCAAAAATTTTAATATATAGATATAGATTTTTTTAATTTACCAGTATATATTGGTGGTCGAATTATAGTATTTAAAGACTTTTTTTAATTCGCCAATAGTTAAGGCATATATTTGTAGTCGAATTGTAGCATTTAATATGTCGAATTTTTGATTTTTACTATGTAATAATTGTCAAATTATAGTATCAAATTTTGTAATTTCGAGTCATGTAGTTGTTGTCGAATTTGTTAATTTTAGAGATATATAGATTTTTTTAATTCACTAGTGTATATTAGTAGTTGAATTATGGCATTTAAAGACTTTTTTTTAAATTCGCCAACAGTTGAGCATATATTGGTGATCAAATTATAGCATTTAATATGTCAAATTTTTGATTTTTACTATGTAATAATTGTCAAATTATAGTATTGAATTTTGTAATTTCGAGTCATGTGGTTGTTGTCGAATTTGTTAATTTTGGAGATATATAGATTTTTTTTTAATTCACCAGTATATATTGGTGGTTGAATTATGGCATTTAAAGACTTTTTTTAAATTCGCCAATAGTTGAGGCATATATTTGTGGTCGAATTGTAGCATTTAATATGTCAAATTTTTTAATTTTTACATGTGATAATTGCTGAATTGTGGTGTCGAATTTATAATTTGTGTTATGTAATAGTTGTCGAATTTATTAATTTTGAAATCGTTGAATTTTGATATTTTATATATAGACTTTTTTTAAATTCACAAATAGTTGAGGATATATTGGTAGTCGAATTGTGGCATTTAATATATTGAATTTTTTAATTTTATCATGAAATAATTGTTGACAAATTTTATAATTTGTGTTATGTGATAGTTGTTGTATTTATTAATTTTAAAATTGTTGAAAATTTATTAATTTTAAAATTGTTGAATTTTGATATTTTATATATAGTTTTTTTTTATATTGGTGGTCGAATCGTGGTATTTAATTTTTATCATGTAATAATTGTTGAATTATAATATTTAATATATCGATTTTTTTATTATAATTAAATTAATAAAATTAGTATCAACTTTATAATAAGTTTAGTAAATAAAATTTAATTCAACCTATAAAATTTGATCAATCGAATTATCAAAAAATTCATCTTAAATTTAACTGTCGAATTTTAATAAAATTAAGATAATTAAGTGACATATACTAACTAAAAGATAAAATTAAAATTCGATATAAATTCAAGTATCTATTATATTAAAATTATATATAAATTTTTCTGTTAATTGGCATAACAGCAATATATTCTTTTGAACCTTTTTTGTGTACTAGTTTATAAGGTCCAGGTACAAATCGGTTCAAAATTTGGTGAACTGGTATTATACAATCACGACTAATTGAAAAAAAGTCTTTAGTCCAAAGTTCAATATTGCATAATTGGTTTCCTTCTTCATTTATTCCAAAATAAAACCTTGTAGAACTATTGGATGCTGGTTTATACCAATGCACAAATGCTAGATTATGTTCTAATTTTCGACTGTTAATATTTACTGTATGTCGAATAAAATATTATATTTGGCCAACATATGTATCAGAAGAAGCTCCATCTTGATTAATAAAATTTGACATTATAAAGGAGCTTCTTGTATGCCAAATTGATATAGTTGATCTAAATACTTCTGAACCAATTCGCAGACAGCCAAATTGGTTTCCAAATAGATTAATTAATATTAAATTTTCATCTCTAATACTACTGAATGGTAACTGGAATAAATGTTGAGGATAGGATGCTGAATAAAACTTCAATAATATATTCAATATATGGGGGGGAGTCAGTAGAAATGGGACAAATCATTTTTAGTGAATTTTTTTTAATTTTTAAATTACAATTT